TGACACTTGGGGGGAAGGGAAGACTTGCGGCTCCTTGATCTGTTAGAGTTAGGGATAATGGACTCCTGGGACCCCGAGAGAAGAAGAAGGTAGGGTCCCTGGGAGGGGTTCAAATCCCCCTACCCTCTGGGTCTCTCGAAAGCCATCAGGGACGCCTGAGGCAGGAAAGGGTGGGGTCTCAGATCTCCAACAGCCGGGATCCCTGGAAGGCTAAGGAGGACATAGGGGATGGGGACTTCTGGGTCCCTGGAGTGGGGGGGTGGGGCTTGCACTCACTTCACTGAGGCCGCGCTGGGCCAGCGGCGCCCCAGCTTCGCCAGCTGCTTCCGCGGGGAGTTGATCCAGAGGCCGGCGGGGAGATGGAGCTTCCCGAAGCGGGGGCTCCCGCTCTCCTTCCGCTCGCCTGACAGCATCTCCTGCGAGGATATAAGACCTTCTGGATTCTCAAACGGGAGAGGGCATCGGGAGAGGACACCGCGGTCGCAGAGAGGCTAGAGGCCCTGTACTCCAGGTACTCACCCTCCTCCCGAGGCCGCGGTGTGTGGCTCCCGAGGTGAGGTTTGGGTCCTGCTCCCGCCTGGATCCTGGTGCTCCTGGCTCTGGGTGGGAACAGGACAGGAAAAGGCAAAAGGAAGCCGGGCAGGAAGAGCGGGGAGGGGGCGTCCTGTCAGGGGCGGGGAGGGGGGGGGAGGGGAGCGAAGCCCGGCTAGGACGAGCACGACCTGGGCTTCCAGCGCCCCCCAGCGCTGGACCAATTCTGTTTCTTCAATTTCCGCCCTTTGGGGGACCCAGCCATCCAAGTCCTAATACCATCTCCCTCAGGAACGAAAGTGACTGGGTCTCTAATCCACTCTGGAACCCAGGCCCGCGCACTCGGGCGTGCAGGAGTCCCCTCCTAGACCTGAACTGAGTCACAGACACAAAGGAAGAGGAGACATTTTTATTGACTGAAGGGTAAGGGTGCCCCGGATCTCCGCATCCCGGGGCCGACGAATCCATCCAGGAACATTGGCTTCTGGCATTCCCTTGGCCTTACTTACTCGCCCTGCCCAGGTGTACGCCCGCCCTGCGGACGCAATAGAGGCTAGAATAAAGGCCAGAGAGAGTGAGGCAGCCTGCGGCATCTTGAAACCCTTCCCTCACCAGCCACCAGGAATCCCTTGCCCGTGGGGCAGCCTGTCAGGCCCTGCCCCTTGGACCCTATCCCCTCCCCGGTGGCGCCGCCCCATAGGGCTCCACCCCTGCAGCTCTGGCTCGGCCTGGGTGGTTAACTACGGGGTCTGGCAGGGCCCAGTGCTCACGTCAGCGCCAGACTCCCCAGCACTGCAGCCACCCCACCAGCGACTAGCCCGATCAGGGTGATGTTGAGGATTCTGGCTGCGTTCTGGCTTGAGTGCGTGAAGACTTCTCTGTGGTCGTTGCATTGTTCGGATTTAAACTCCGGGCGGAGCTCAGCCTCCAAGCCGGCCTCCAACGGTGAGTTTGAAGTCTCCCTCGGGGCTGAAGTCGAAGTCATAGAAGACTGTTCTTCTTCCTGGTCAACTGTGAGGGCGAGGCTTGTGACCTTGGAAAGTCCACTGACCTGTCAGCGTGGTCCGAGTCGGGGTAGGGGCTACACTCGGACCCACCACCGGATTCAGGTGGACACTGGTCTCAGTTCTCGGACTGGGACCAGCATCAGGTCTTTGACCAAAATCGAAGGACTTGGATGCTTCATCCTCTTTCGGAGTCACTGCAGGGAGGGGTTAGAAGAGGAACCAGACCCGGGCCCCAGTTCACAGGCCCCGCCCTCAGGGGCTAGCCGCTAGCTCCTGGTGCGACCCGCCTGCCACAGCTCGACCCGCCTGCCACAGCTCAACCTGCCTGCCACAGCTCGGCCTTCCGCTATCCCCCCCAAAACCCTTCCTGAGGCCCCACCTGAAAGTGGTAGCATGTAGGTGGGTCTGCGACAAAGAAGGCTGACCTTTTACGTAGTAGGTGATGACTGTGGCTGGGCTGTGCTCCCGGACCGTACCCAAGATGCAGCGATAGACACCCGAGTCTTCCAAGGACACCATGGGCTTGATCAGGGTGGACTCTTGGCTCCGACTTATCAGGATTTCTGAGCCATTTGGCCAGACCTGGCCCCAGCCCCGGGGGATGGACATGCAAGGGTCAGGGCAGCTCCAGAGCCCGGCTGGGATCCACAGGAGTGTAGGGTGGCCGAGGGATCTAGAGTTTACACTGAGGGCCAGGCACGACATAGGGCCCGAGCGTGCCTAGGTCACAAATGGGATTCCTGGAGTGCTCAGGGCCCAAGAGAGTTCCACTGCAGTCCTAGGGGAAAGATCACTTCTAAGGTAGTGCGGGTCCTACGAGTGTCCCTTGGAACCACTCCCTGGGTCAGCGGGGGCCCTCGGGTATTTGGGAGTAAGTACCCTGTAGAATCTGTAGTCCGTCAGCCCTTCGGCTGCTTTATGCCAACTCAGTTCGCAGTCCAAGACCATGTCACCGTTCTCCATCACCCGCACGCTTTGTGCTGTAGATAGGAGTAACTGTTAGCCTCACGTGAGCTACGAGGTCCCAGCCCAGCATCTGACTGCGTCCCCAGCTTCCGACCCCGCTCACCCCCGCAGTCGTAAGACTTTTGACACGAATGCACCTGTTTCTCACACCCATGGCACCAGACGAGGGTCTGCATCATGAAGCCTGCGAGGAGCGACGGGAGGGGGAGAGGACGGGGGGAGGGGTAAGGGCGAGGAGCGGTGCAGGGGGCTAGGAGGTGTCACCATATCCCGAGGGGGCAAAGCCACAGGACAGGGCCCTGAGGGACTGCAGAAGTGGAGCTGGGAGGGGAGGGGAGAGGAGAGATGGACCTTAGGGTACCGAGGGCCAGGCGCTCACCGCATTTGTTGGGACAAAGACCTGTGGCAAAGAAGAGAAGAAGAGATCCGGGCTTTACCCAAGGGGCGGGGGTTTGTGCCTGGGTCCCCGAAAGAGCGGGGGCTGGGGGAACGAAGGGCCTAGATCCTGGGGGGGGGGCTGCCTCAGAGGAAGCCTAAAATTCCCTGAGGGCACTGGAGTCACCAAAGTCACTGAGGGAGTGGGGGCTAAGGCCCAGAACCCGGAGCCCCTGAAAGAGGCTCAGGTCAAGGGGCACAAGGATCCCCAGGGAGAGTGTTGCAAAGGTCATAGGGCTCCCCGAGGGGAAGGGGGGAAATCGTGAGGGATTTCTCAAATGAGCTGGGCTCCCCGAGGGTGCGGGAGCAAAGAGCCGGAAGCTCTCTTGGGGTCTTGACAATGGGCTCAGGGCTCCCAGTCCGGACAGGGCAAACACCACCGGTCTGCCCGAGGGGGGCCAGGCTGGGGAGCTAGGCCCTCCAGGGCTCTTCCTCACTTTCCCTCTGGAACTTTACAGCCAGGCCCAAGAAATGCTCCTTCTGCATATGCAATGTCCAGGTGAGCTCCTTCAAGAGGAAATCGTCTGCAGGGAGCAGGGGGCGCATGGTCTGTGAGCTTCCCTGAATGCCCCCTTCTCCGGCCTGATGCCTGGAGCCCCTAGTCACGACCCACCTCTGAGGCTGCTATCTTTGATTCGCCTCAGCTCCTTCAGGAAGGTCCAGGACGCTTTGCTCAGCGTGGGCTCATCTGTGGAAAGGAGGTTAGGGAGAAATGGGCCCCTGGCGCTCAGCCAAGCTGACCGAAAGCTTTCCCCTAAACACTGCCCCCCCTCCCCCCCCTCCAGTCCGCGGAGTGTGCTTGCGGGGCAGGCAGGTGCCCTGGATCCCGGGGGCCCGCTCTTCACCTATGACGCCCTGGTAGACGTTCTCCTCAACCGGAAGATCACTGAACTGTTGTATAGTCTCCTCCAGCCGGTTCACTAAAGTCTGCAGAGCTTGGGGGTCCAGGTCCATGTGGCTGGGCAGGTAGTTCTGCTCCAGGTCTCGCAGTCCCGCCACGACTGCGGGGTCGCAGAGCAAGCATCCCCACGCTCGGCGCGGGCTCGAAACCAGGGCCAAGACCACGAACCCCAGGGGCAACGCGGAGCGTAGGAGACTGCCCATGCAGGTGGAACTCACCACAGCCCTAGGGAATCCACTGCGAGGCTCCTCTGGGCGTGTCCCTAAATGCAATTGTCACAAGCCCTGAGCCTATGAGTTCCACGTGACCCCCAAACTCGAACTGCCATTGAGCCCCCAGAGTGAAGGGGGCCTTCGGATGGGAAAAATCTCAAAGCATGCTGAAACTGAAGAGCCTCCAACTGAGGGAGTTCCCCTAAATACAATGGGGACACCTCCTGAGCCTTTGATTGTGAAGAGATCCTCAAAGAAGGAAGATTCCAAAGCACCGGAAAATCGGAACTTGGGGGTGTCACTCGGGCTGGGGTTTGCCCTCTCTATTTCCACCTGATTCCTCCCCTCCCCCCCTCCCAAAGAGGGACAGCGGGGTGGGGGGAGGGAGGGGCTGGGGCGGGGTCAGCATTGTCGCTTGGCCCAGAAAACCACCACCCACCTTGCAGAGGCGCCGCCTTCACTACATTGCCCATAAGTCACCACGCCTCGGGGACACGGTAGTTCTGTGAGGCCGCCGCTCCCTAGGCGCTGCTGGGAGCTGTAGTCCCACAGCAAACAGGAAAGCGGGTGGGGTGGGGATCCCAGGACGGTCCCCTTCTCTTCTCTGAGCTCCTGTGGACGATCTCTAAGCCCTTATTGGGCTCCGGGAGTGTGAGCCAGGTCAGGAGACTCCCACGTGAACAGTTGCCTTGTCCACGGACCCCAGACGCCCTGCTTACCCCTACCCGTTCTGTTGGACACTGGTGGGCGACCGAGGTGCTAGGCAAGGACGCCCCTGTATGACCTCATAGGGCCGTGGAATCCCAGATTGTGACTGGGAGTCCTGGGAACACCCGAGGGGGTCAAACTCCAATCTTCTCACGCTCCACTGCACCCCGAGTGGGCAGTGCGGCTCCAGGACTACCACTCCCAGCAATCCGTGGGACAGTTGCTTCCTTAGCCGATGGAGCCCCGAACCCAGGGCGCTTCTGGGAGATGCAGTCTACTTCGTGTAGTACCTGTATTCCATTAAGACGAGGGGCATCTGGGTCCCAGAGCAGGCGGGTACTGGGGAAGGGGTGCCTGGGTCCCCCAGAGGACAGGCACTAGGCGGAGAGCCTCGGTCCTAGAGCAGGCAGGCACTGGGGATGAGACACAAGGGCCCCAGAACAAGTGGACCCTGGGGAGGGGGTGCCTGGGTCCAAGAGGAGGTGGACTCTGGGAAGGCTGTGCCCGTCCGGAGAGGACAGGTACTGTGGGGATGGGGGCGATGAAGATGGGATCTAGACCCCAAAAAGGAAAAACCCTGGACTTTCTCACCTGGCCAAATCTCTGGCCTTGGCCTGAGGCTATAATCTCATCAAGTGGTCTTTCATTTGTGGCTACACCCAGTGTGCCAATTCTCTGCTCCATTGTCTTACCTCCCTAAGGCCCCAGGCTACTTCCCACCCTTAATCTTATCTAGGCTCCACTCTCTCTTGGCCACAAGGTCCAGGTCCCTGGAGTTCTATTACCTCATAGACTACTTAGCCAGTCCTAGATCCCTCCCATAGTCTTTCTGTATATAAGGTCCATCTTGTCTCCATTAAGATGTTTGGATTCTTATAATCCAGCCAATAGCTCACGGGTGCTCAGATTTCTTAAGAGTCTAGCCAATATGGCAGATCGTTAATAAACCTTGTCTTTGGCTTGGGTCGAATTGTGATTTTGGGGTTCCAGCACCCCTAAACCTCTAGACTTCATCAAGGGGAGTATGGGTCCCAGAGCAGGAGGGCCCCAGGGAGGGTGTGCCTGGGCCCCCAAGAGGAGGAGGGGCCCTCCAGTAGTGTAGAGAGGACTTTGAGAGTGGGAATCCCAGTGCCTGCAAGGAACTAGGATTTCCAGTTTTTCTGCCTCTGCATTCTGAAAGTGCTTGTTTCCTGCCTAGACCCTGAACTCCCAATAGCTGCTGGGATTCAGCCATTTTGGAAAGAGTGAGGATGACATGCCAATGCTTCATGGAAGCATGGTCTTCCCTCCCTGCACTTCTGGAACGCCCTGCCCAACGCAATGGGCCTCTCCTTCCAAAATAAAGGATAGAAAGTTCTAGAGCCAAGGATTTTTTTAATGGGCTTTGTTTTTTTGTAAATAAAGTGTTCTCTAATATTTAAATCCCTGAGATAAGTCCAAGAGGCTGACCACTTCTCCTCTCTCCCCCAGGTTTTCTTAGCCCTTGAGGAGAAGCCTGAGGCTGGCTTCTGTTCTCTGGTTCCCAGCTTCCTTCCTCTTGAGGCACAGGTGGGGAAACTGAGGCAGTGATAGGGGTTAGAAGGACCCAGGTCTAGTCACTGTTGGTTGCTAGGGCTAGGCAGCCCCTGCCCATCTCTTCTAGTTTTGGTTCCTTGCCCCACCCCATAAAAGGGAATGAGAGGCATGGGAGTTTGCAGCTCTTAGGGTTCAGTCCCACAGTCCAGGGCTCTTCCTGGAGGGGTCCTCAAAAAATGCCCAGTCTAATACCTTCATTTTGCAAATGGGGAAACTGAGGATCAGGATAGGGAAGCTATTCACCAAGGTTACCCAGGGCCAGCAGGGGAACCCAGGCCTCCTACAACCCAGTGTTCTTGGAATTAATTTACATTAGCATTCATCAACAGAGAGAAGGGAGTTACCAGGCCTTGGAGTGTTTCCCCTTGTGGAAGGAAGAGCCATCCCAAGGCTTGGGGCCAGTGAGCCCTTGTCCCAAAGGACAGCATTGTGGGCAACTCTAGAACCTGAAGGACATATCCCCATCCTCGCTGGAACTGAGATCCTAGCTCTCTCACTATTATTGAGTCGTCCTGGGAGAGTTGTCTCTCCTATTGTCTGTAAACATGAAGGCTCCACATCGAAGCACCAGATCAGTGCAACAGTGGGGAGAGGTCTGCAGGGATGCCTACCCATTCGGGCAGGAAGGCAGCCTGAGGCTTGAATACATTTAGGAACTGGGAGTCGGGGAGGGTGTAGTTGGCCAAGTAGATGGTCTTCCCCGCAGCCAGGTAGGCTGCCCAATAGCCAAAGGTACCGATGGTCATCACCGTGTGGTTGCATTGAGTCAGCAGTGCGAAGTCCGAGCCAGGTGCCACCTCGTCTCCATCGCCAGCAAACACCACATCGCCCCTAGAGGGATCAATGTTCTCTCGGCACCACTTCATACCATTGCTGGTCACCACGAAAACAACGTCAGGGTAGCGCACCCGGAACCAGGCCAGGGCCTGCTCCAGGTAGGCACGATCAGCCACCACGCCTCGCCAGTGCTTGGGCATGACCTCCACATAGTCGCCCCTGCGGACGTGGACCCCCACAAAGGTGAGGCTTCTGCCCTTGCCCCGGCTACGGCGGACCCAATGCAGGAAAGCCTGCGCATCTTCTCGGATGTGGCGGTGCAAGGAGAATTCTCGGTGGATCTTAGCACGAAGGTGGTGGTAGAAGGTCCAGGAACAGGGGAAGCCTGTGAACTGCAGCATGTCCTGGCTGCCCAGGTGGGCATACTCCTCTGCCATCCAGTCTCGAAGCGGGTAGAGGCGCCAGGGCATTCGGGCAGCCACCTCTTTGTCTAGCACCGGGAGGGTGACCTTGAAGACTGGGGCTAGGGTGGCATGCATGTCTGGCAGGATGAAGGCCTGCTTCCCATTCAGCTTGGCCAGGGCATAGAGGGTGGCATACTGGCCCATCTGGTTTCCAAAGCGCCCCTCTGGCTGGATAGTCCAGATGCCACTGGGTTCAGGGCTTGCTGCTGGCTTGTGGAAGGCCAAAGAACCATTGGGGCCTGGAGGTGTCCCTGGCAGGCAGAAGAGGGCCACTTTGGTTAAGCCTGAGCATTGCTTGTGGCACAGAGCAGAGAAAACCAGTTTTGGGGAGAAGCTGCCTTTCCAGAGGTGGAGAAAGAAGGAGGTAACCGAGAGCAATGAGGCAACCAGGAAGGCCCAGCATAGTTGCCGGCGAGAAGGGATCCACATAGCTGTGGAAAGAAGCCGGGAGCCTAAATCTGAGATGTTGAGGAGGAGGCAGGGGTACCCAGGGAGAAGGGGTGAGGGGGCTGGGAGCAGAGGCTGGAAGAGCTGGGCCCTGGGACTCAGTCCGACTCACCTGGGCTCCCTCTTCTTGCAGGGCACTCCCCTCTTCCGCAGCCTCACTGGGCCTGGCCAATAAAGAGCCACAGGTGGGAAAGGGAGGGAAGGAGGAGTTCCACCGGCCGCAGTAGCGCTCCTCTTTCCCTTCGGACCAAACTCATCATCTTGTTGCCAGGCAATGCGACAAGCTCAAGGCTGCCTTCCCCAAGCCGGCGCGGTCCCCCCCCCCGGGGCCAGCCCAGAGCACCGGCACCCCGATCTGTGGATCTGCTCGGGCAACCGCATGGGTGGATGCCGGCTCCTCTGTCCTTCAACCCTGGAGACCTATCCCCCAGCTCCAGACAAAGCCCCACGCCAGGGAGGAGGCAGAAGAGGGCAGGGCCAAGACTAGCAGAGACTCGGAGCCCACCCTCCAGTCAAGGTGGGGCCAGATGGGAAAGCGAGGGGAGTGCCTGCGGGGCGGGGAAGCAGAGATAACTAGTTTGTCCAGTTCAGTCGTGGAGGGAGGATGTCACACGACTACTTTGTCTCTGTTCTGACTATTTCAGAAGAGGGGCTACCACCAATCCTAGAAGGACCACGACTTTGGCGTTATCCGTGATTCCTCCCTTTCCCTCATCCCATAGGGCTAGTCGACGGTCAGTGAGTGAGTCAATAGACCCTTATGAGGCGCCTACTATTCTCCAGGCACTGTGCGAAGTGTATCGACCGCCACAATATCTCGGCCACTTACTGCCCTAGTCCAGAAGTCCCTTACCACCTCTCCCTGGCCTCCACGTCTCATCTCCCCCTCTCCGCTCCATCCACCCCGCACTTGCCTAAGTGACTCCCCTCCAAAGCCTGGGTTTGAAATTAAAGCAACCTTCTTCTCCTCTCCCCCTCCCCACCCCCGTGTCCCCTCACACCCTGCACGTTGGCGCCAAAGAGACCAAGAGCGCAGGATGAGCTCATCTGATGCTCAAGGAGGCTGAGGGGTAAGTGACTTACCCGGGTGACCACGCAGCTAGTCGATGTCTGACTCACGGCTCAGGGCTCCGTGCACCGTGGCGCCCCCTCGCTGCGATCCACGTCGCTGGCGAGGCTGTGGGAAGCCTGGCTCATTTACGCGTTGTCCAATCTTTCTGGAAGGTCCAGGACCTTTGGCCCAGATATTCCACAGCAAGGCACATACCCCAAGGAGGTCGTTGACACAAAAGAAAGGTCTCTCTATACACCAACATATTGATAGCGGCCCTTTTTGCCATGCCAAAGAAATGGAAATAAAGTGGATGTCCATTGATTGTGTAAAGGTGGAACAAAGTGGTCCATGAAAGTGATGCAACACTTTTGTGCCATAAGAATGTAACGTGTACAGAGAAGCGCGGAGAGACAGCCCGACAGGACCTGGTGCCCAGATCCCACCTTCTGCTGGAAGCCTTCCCCAAGCCCTCTTAATTCCAGTGCCTTCCCTTGGGGATTATTTCCTATTTATTCCGTTTAGAGTTTGCTTTGCATCTATTTGTTTGCCTGTTGTCTCTCGCACTAGACTGTCATCTCCTTGCCCACAGGGACTGTCTTGTGTGTGTGTGTGTGTGTCCTCTTTTTGTATCACCAGGGTTTAGCACAATGGTTGGCACATATTAGGTGCTTAATAAGTGTTTATTAATTGGTTGATTATTAATATTGTCAGTAGAAAGATTGACTGACACAAAACAATAGAAATCCAATACTAATATTAATACTAATAAGGACCAAGTCTGGCCCCAAAGAAGAAACGGGAGAAGACAACCCCCTACCCATCCCTTCGGGAGCAGAGGAGCCACGAGTGTGGAGACAGCATCTTATGTCAGGTTTTTCCCTCATATGTCATTTTGTTCTGCTGAGTTTTTTTTTCCCTCTTTCATATTTTTAAAAAAGTTTTTTTAAATGTCTTTTTACTGGATGACTCTCTGGGACACAGGACAGAGGGAGGAAATATACTCAATATAAAAACAAAAGATAGCAATAATATATAATTTTCTAAAGTATTAATTTTTAACATTAATTTTTTAAATTTTGAGTTTCAAATTCTCCTCTTGAGAAAGGAATTTATAATTTTCATATTAAGCAATATGATATGTGTGGTGAATATACTAATAATTTAGTTTTCTTAAGAGCTGCCTTCCTGGCTTGGGAGCTCACAATGCAGCTTAAACTGATCACTCAAAATCCTGGCAATGCTCACAATTGCTGGACCTTAAGTGAAGTGAATCAAAAATTGTAGAACCTGTTCCTGTCACAGAACTCTGGTTCTGTACTTTATTAGGGCAGCTGGTCACAACTCCCAAAGACCTGACTCCAGAATTGTATCGTGGAACTTATGGGTTTCTTGTGGGAAACCACTAAATGATTGTTGTAATCTGCCTTCTCTCCCCTCCTTCCTCCATGGTGATTTAAGAATATAACCTGTGCTTTTACTTCAGGTAGCAGAACATCTCTCACTCTGAAACTGATTAATTAAACTACTTGAGATTACTGGCACCCTCATCTCTAGGGCTGCTTTGTGTTTCTCCCAGCATTCTCAGGTTAGAGAATGGTTCAATAAAAATCCTGTTAGCACTCCCAACCTCTCCCACCTGTTGTGACAGCAAGAAGTGTGATATTAATTATACATGTGAAATTCTGAAAAACATTTCTGTATTAGCCATGTTGCAAAAAAAAGAAAAATTAAGAGAGTAAAAGAATTATGCTTCAACTGCATTCAGACTCCATCAGTTCTTTCTCTGGAGGGGGAGAGCATCTTTTTTTTTTTTTTTTTTTTTTTTTACCATAAGTCCTTTGAAATTGTCTCAGATCATTATGTTGCTGACAATAGCTAAGTCATTCACAGTTGATCACCATACAACATTGCTGTTACTGTGCACAATGTTCTCCTGGTTCTGCTCACTTCACTTTGTTCATACAACTCTTCCCGACCTTTGAAATCATTCCCCTCATCATTTCTTACAGCACAATAGTATTCCATTACATTCACACACCACAACTTGTTCAGCCACTCCCCAATTGATGGGCATCCCCTCAATTTCCAACTTGTTGCCACCACAAAAAGAGTTGCTATAAATGTTTGTTGCATGTGGGTCCTTTTCCCATTTTGTTTCTTTGGGATACAGATCTAGCATACCTAGCAGTGGTATTGCAGGATCAAAAGGTTCTTTACAGCCAGTTGGGCATAGTTCCACATTGTTCTTCAGAATGGCTGGATCAGTTTACAACTCCACCAAAAGGGCATTAGTGTCCCTATTTCCCCATATCCCTTCCAACAAACAAAAAATATTTTTGAAGTGTAGATTTCTGGTTGATTCGAGGGGTTCTCTGTTGACTCTACCTTCAAATGTTATTACTTCTTAAACTCCTAAAAATTGTTTCTGTGGATGTTTGATCAGGTACATAATTGTTATAACAGCAATAGCACATACCATTTGTCAATAAGTAAATCTACACATATGTGAAGTTTGTGCTCAGCTCTTTTTACGAGGAGGGTACAGGACCAAAAAAAAAAAGTTCAGAGCCATCATGCCCCGGGACATGTGGTTTCCTGCCACCATCCTTCGTCAGGTTCTCAGGGATCCAAGCCTTCCTCTCCCAGGAGTTTCCAAACTCCCATTCCTCAGGTCTTGTGGCCTCAGGTTGATTCAGGCCTCATTTGTCAGGAACTCTGAGCCTTAAGAGGCCAGGTTCCGTCTCTCACGTCCTCAAAGACCCAGGTTGCCCCTCTCCAGGTATCTGGCATCCCATCCTTCACACCTTGGGGACCCAGGTATCCAGGCTTCACACTTGCTATATACCCAAATGCCTCAGGAGCCCTCTCCTTCAGCTTTCATCCAGACCCTGAGATCTCTGACTGGGGTTTACACTATTTCCACTCTAGACCTTGGAGACCCTGGTTCCAGACCCCATTCCACAGGGACCCAGGGATCCATGTCCCATCTGTTGTCCTCCAGCAATCCAAGTACCTAGGACCCTCACCCCTTCAGTTTTGCTTTTTTTATGAGGCAATAGGGGTTAAGTGACTTGCCCAGGGTCACATAGCTGGTCTCAAGTGTCTGAGGTCACATTTGAACTCAGGTCCTCCTGATTCCAAGGCCAGAGCTTTACCCGTTACACCATCTAGCTGCCCCCACCCCTTCAGTTTGTAAAAGGCCCAGGGGGTCTAGTCCCTCTGGTGTCCGAGTTTCCAGCATTTCCTCTCCCCACCAAACTGTCAAAGGGACATTGAGGTTGAAGACCAGACTCCTTTCTACCTCCCCAGCTTAGTGAGTCCCACATGACCTCACCTGCCTCCTCTTGCTCCCAGGCCCTAGCCCTGACCCTGCCCAGAACCCCAGAGTCAAGGGTCAGACTGGGGATTTTGCTCTCAGGAAAAATACCTGCTGAAAGAAATGTGGCTATTGCATCAGGAGGCCAGGAAGGTCTCCCATGACTGGTCTGTGTGCTGCCTTTGTCTGGGCATGGCCAGCAGGGGCCTAGGCTTGAGGCTCTGGATCTTGCGTCAGGCAGACAGGCCTAGCTCTTCCTCTACATCTGGGTTCCTATCTTCTCAGGGACCCAGGCATTCAGGCCTCCACCTTCCCGAGAACCAGGTATGCAGGCCCCTACCATTTCATGGACACAAGTGAACAGGCTCATAATTTCTCAGGAACGCAGAGGTCCAGGCCCCTCCTTCCTAGAGATGGATGTGTCCAGGCCCCCCCTTTTCTTGGGGAACCCCAGTATCCAGACCCCCATCTTTTCAAGGACCTTTGAATGTAAGCCTCTGCTTTCTCAGGTTCAGGCATGTGGGCCCCCACATTATTCCAGCCCCAGGCATTTTGCCCTTGATTTCTTGGGTCTCCCCAAACTTCTAGTGGACCTTGGTGTCTGGGCCCCTCTTCAGACACCTTGTGATTCTGGCCCCACTTTCTCAGGGATTGTGACTTTCTGAGGGACTCCAGAATCGAAAGCATCTAAGGCCCCATTCTTAGGACCCCCAGTCTCCAAGGGACACAGGTGTTTGTATCCCAACAATCCTCTCAGGTCACCAGGCATCCAGGCTCACAGAACCATTCCCACTCTGCCCCCCCCCACTCCAGGTTGCATCATCCATGTGGGGCGGTGACTTCGCCACGGTGGAAGGGCTGCTGGCAGCCAAGTGGGTCATGTTTCATGATGATAGCAGCTGACCAGAGGTGGGCGGAGGGGCCTGGAGATAGGTATAAGCCCCCGTAGAGCACCCGAGCAGCCACGGGAAATCCAGAGAGAGGAAGAGCAGGAACCAGATACAGCCTCGACTCAGGAGAGCCAGGGAAATTAGACCTTCTGGAAGCCTGCCTCCCAGACTCACATCCACTCTACCCTTCCTGTGGCACACAGACTGCTATTTCCCCAGAAGCCTCTGGGGAACCAAGACTGCCAGGCAGCTGAACATCTGGGCCCACAGAGGGCCTGTCCATCCCCAGGCCCAAGGCGTTCCTTTCTGTCAGCCTCTTGACTGCTTGAAGGATGGGCCCAAGGAAGAGAGCCAGGGGCTGCCTAGCCCCTCTGCTATCCTTGCTCCTGGCCTATAGGGGCTGGGGCTACCCCATCCCCGACTCCAGCCCCATGCTCCTGTTTGGGGGCCAGGTTCGCCTCCGCCACCTGTACACAGATGACGGCCAGGACACCGAGGCCCATGTGGAGATGGGGCCCGACGGCGCAGTTCGAGCAGCAGCCGAGAGGAGCCCCAAGAGTGAGTGTGGGATGGGGCTACCCGCGGGGAAGGAGGCAGTTTGCTGGGCAGGGCTCCTGACTGTTCCCTCCCCCCAGGTCTTCTAGAGCTGAAGGCGGTGAAGCCTGGCGTCATCCGGATCCTCGCTGTCCAGAGCTCTAGGTTTCTGTGTATGAGGCCCAATGGCGAGCTGTATGGAGCGGTAAGGGCGTCCCCACAGGCCAGAGCCTGCCCTGGTCCCCCATCTCTGTTCCCACTTTGTCTCCCTCTCCATCTCGCCCCCAGCGCCCTCTTAGAATCTCATCTTTTGTCCCCCGGAGGTTCCCACCTCTTTCTAGCTTCAGCACTTTTCTCAAGCACCTCCTAGGCTTCAGGCACCGTGCTAGCATTGGGAATACAAAGACCACGGCGCTCCACTGCTCCTGAATCTGAGCTGACTTTCCAGGGGGTGGATTCCCAAAAGATCCCCAGGGATTTCTGGGGGTGAGGGGAATGCCCAAGCTGGGCTGTGAGGGACGCTATGGATTCTAGGATTCTAAGAGTGCACTCCAGGCCTGAGGGCTGCAGATGGAGCCTCATATCCAGGGAAAGGCCAGTGGGCCAGGAGAGAGAATGCTGGGGGATAATGGGTAACGGGTGGAAGCCCTGCAGACAGATTGGGCCAGAGGAGGTTGTGATGTTGAGGTCACCGGGAGTCACTCACTGAACAGGTGGTGGACAGGGTCACACCTGGCTCCAGGAGGCTCATGGCTGTGGCTATGCTGGAGAGCGGAGGTGGCCATGGGAGCTCACTCGGGATGCCTTCTCCCCCACGTTCCCCAATCAACCTTGCCCCTCCTAGGTCCTAATCGGCCTCAGTCCCCATGTCCTTGCTCTCTGTCTCATTCCATTTCAGCCCGGGGCTTCCCTACACAAAGTGTTCCTATGCAAGTGGGGGCTGGGAAGGCTCACAGTGGGCATTGCCTCTGACTGGCCCTAAGATGCCTCCTTGCCCCTACAGGTACAATATGACCCTTCTGCCTGCAACTTTCGGGAACATCTGCTGGGGGATGGCTATAATGTGTATGAATCGGAGGCTCATGGGCGGACCCTCCGTCTGTCCCCCCAGGCCTCTCTGGGCCAGCCTGGTCCTTCTCGCTTCCTGCCACTTCCTGGTGCCCAGCTGCCAGGCCCTGAGCCCCCCTGGGAACAGGGCCCCGAGCCCCCGGACGTGGGCTCAGCAGACCCACTAAACATGGTGGGGGGTGTGCAGGGCCGCAGCCCCAGCTACTCCTCATGAGCCCGGTCAGCCCCCACCCCACCTGGCCCAGGCAGGCCCTGGCTACTATTTATTCTGAGGGCTGGGTACCTCAAGTCTTATTTATGCCTTTTCTAGCTCATCTTCTGAGCAATAAAGCAGCATAACACGAGCTCATGGTGTGCAGGCATCTTTTGGGGTGGGTGGTGGGAGCAAGCAGGGTCCCTAAGGGGAGCAAGGGGGAGGCAAGATTTCGAATGGCCCCAAGCTCCACCACCCTGAGGCCTTGGGGGGAAAGTGCAGCTTCTGAGGCTCCCCCAGCCTTCAGTCAGCTCTCTGTGAAGTCAAGACCAGGGCCAAGGGAGGGGACTCCTGGGTCCCTGATGGAGAGGGGACTGCTCAGGGCCCATGACAAGACATCCCCTTATCCTTTGGTTTTTTATTTGGAAAATGCTGGGAAAAAAAATTAACTGCAGCCTCAGATAGGCTTAGGGGGCTGGAGGGTCAGAGGAGGGGTCCTCTTCTGACATCATCCGGGCCCTGTCCGCTGAAGCTGGTGAGGAACAGAGTGTGGGGCTCCCTGAGGGCTGGAGGAATGGGGCCGGGTGCCTGGACCCTGGCCCATATGGCTTTGGGAGTGTAGCTTGGCTTGGGGGCTGCAGGGACCCAGGCCTCCCAGACCACCTGGCTGGAGAGCTATTTTGCACTTGGAATCTTTGGTTGAGGTGGGGGGATGGCAGTACAGACAGCAGGTAGAACCTGATCTGGCCTCCAGTCACACAGGGAACATCCACTCGTGACTGCCATCTCCATACTGGCGGAAAGGGAAGGATGGAAGTAAGTGGCTGGTCAGAGCTCCCAGAAAGCCCTGGGGTTGAGGGGGAGGAGCTGCTGACCAGCCACCCCCTGCACCCCCAGCACCTACCTGGATGTCACACAACGCCTTATGGAATCTTAGGGTGAGGTTAGGCCCGTTCTCCATGGTGGGAATGTGGAGGTGCTGAAGAACGGAGAAGAAGCAGGCCTCAGTAGAGCCAGGGAGCCTGGCCTGTGCTCCAAACCTCTCTTCAAGTCACTATTTTTTTTTCCTTGCTTTTTGGTGAGGCAATTGGGGTTAAGTGACTTGCCCAGGGTCACACAGCTAGTAAGTGTCAAGTGTCTTAGGTCAGATTTGAACTCAGGTCCTTCTGATTCCAGGGCCAGAGCTCTATCCACTGTGGCACTCAGCAGCCCCTGCCCCAAACCCTTCTTGCCAAGGCTCGGTGGCTCTGGCAGAGCCACTTCTCCCCCCCCCCCCAGGGCCTTTGCGCAGGGCCTGGTCACCCCTGGTGGAAGGAGGGTCCCCAGGCTGGTCTCTGCTGCCCT